TATGGAGGGGCTATAGGAGGCTATGACAGCCCATAGGCTGCCTATAGGAGCATGGAGAGAGCCATAGAGGACAATGAGGGAGGCTATAGGGGCCTGTTGGGGCCTATAGCAGGATGGGGGGGGGATATAGGAAGCTCTGGGGCTCAATAATAGGAAGCTCTGGGGCTCTATAATGGACTCTAAGGGGCTATGGGTGGCTACAAGTGGCTGTGGGCTATGGGGACATATAGGGGCCTATAGGTAGCCAGGAGGGGTAGAGGCTTGTGAGGGACCTGAGGGGCGTATAGGGGACGTATGGGGCTGAGACAGACACTATAGCAGCCTATGGGGGGGATATGGGGAGCCCATAGGGGCCCAGCAGGGAGTTATAGAGGGCCAGGAGGGCCCTGTAGGTGCCCAAATAGAGGTTATGGGGTCTACAGGTGGACTATAGGAATCTATGGGGTACTATAGGCGCCCAATACAAACTTGGCGGGGGGGGGTATTCAGGGACCCTATGGGGTCTGGCAGGGGGCTATAGGGACCCATGTGAGGTTTTATGGGGGCTGACAGAGGGGTCAGGACGCTCCAAAGGGAGAGGGGGTCTTGTGGGCTATAGGGGCTAAAGGCACATGTAAGGACTATAGACACGTATACGGGCTACGAACATCTATAGGGGCTATTGGCAAGTATAGGGGCTATGGACATCTATAGTGGCTATTGGCATGTATAGGGTCTATGGACATGTATAGGGGTTATGGACATGTATAGGGGCTATTGGCATGTACAGGGGCTATGGACATCTATAGGGACTATGGACATCTATAGGAGCTATGAACATCTATAGGGACTAGAGACACATATAGGAGCTATGGACATCTATAGGGACTATTGGCGTGTATAGAGACTATGAACATGTAGAAGAGCTAAGAACACATACAGATGCTATAAACATGTATAGAAACTACAGACATCTATAGGGACTATGGACACCTATAGGGGCTATGGACGCCTGTAGGGGCTATGGACATGTATAGGGGCTATTGGCATGTATAGGGGTATAGACGCCTGTAGGAGCTATAGAGACGTATAGGGGTTATTGGCATGTATAGGGGCTATGAACACGTATAGGGGCTATGAACGTGTAGAAGAACTATTAACATGTACAGAGATTATAAACATGTATAGACGATACAAGCACGTATAGGAACTATGGACACCTATAGGAGCTATAGACATGTATAGGGGCTATGGACGCCTATAGGGGCTATGGACGCCTATAGGGGCTATGGACATGTATAGGGGCTATGGACACCTATAGACAGCTATGGGGGGGGGCGGTTTATGCGACCCAGTGAAGCGCCGTAGTCCCCAGGCCCCCCCCAGCACCACGTGCTGTCGCCACCTGATGACATCACCGCGCCGCAAGGCCTCCTGGGAGTTGTAGTCCAACAGCCCTGCCACCAATACCCCCCCCCCCAATAAAGGGGTCACGGGGTCAGGCCGAGCCCCTTCCCTTTATTAACAGCCCCATATTGGGGGGTGAGCCTATAGGGAACCCCATAGGGTTCTATAGGGACCCCAAAGTGGGGGGGCTCACTCGGGGGGGGGCAGGGTGAGGCGCGCGGGGTCGTAGTAGTTGGGGTCCACCAGGGGGAGCCCCCGGCGCTCCCGCTCCACGATCTGGATCTCGGCCTCCCGCCGGGCCCATTGCTGCAGCCTATAGGGGAAGAGAGGGGCAGGGTCCATGGCGAGCCCTATAGACCCCTATAGAGCCCTACAGACCCCTATAGAGCCTCTGAATGCATTTATACCCCATTATCCACCTTTATATGTGTGTATGTATTGCTATGGACCCCCATATGCTCCCTAGGGACCTCCTATAGGACCCTATAGACCCCTATAGAGCCTCTAAACGCATTTATACCCCATTATCCAGTGTTACATGCATGTATGTATTGCTATAGATTCCTATATGCTCCCTAGGGACTTCCTATAGGACCCTATAGACCCCTATAGAGTCTCTAAATGCATTTATACCCCATTATCCAGCTTTATATGTGTGTATGTATTGCTATGGACCCCCGTATGTTCCCTAGGGACCTCCTATAGAACCATATAGACCCCTATAGAGCCTCTAAGCGCATTTATACCCCATTACCCAGTTTTATATGGGTGTATGTATTGCTATAGACCCCTATATGCTCCCTAGGGACCTCCTATAGGAACCTATAGACCCCTATAGAGCCTCTAAATGCATTTATACCCCCTTATCCACCTTTATATGCGTGTATGTGTTGCTATAGACCCCCATGTGCTCCCTAGGGACTTCCTATGGGCACCCACATCCCCCATAGGACCCTATAGAATCCCCCTCCACTCCCCTGAAGAGCCCTGTGTTCTGTTTTACCTCACCATGAACCTCTATACATAGTCTATATAGATTTTATAGTGACCTGCTGCTATTTATAACTCTATATAAGCCCCATCAAGCTCTTAAACCCCCCTATAGCTCCCTATAGAGACCCTATTGCCCCCCCCAGGCCCCTATACACCCCCATAGACCTTCTATAGACCCCTATACACCCCCATAGACCCCCCATAGACCCCCATAGACCCTCTATAGACCCCTATACACCCCCATAGACCCCCTATACACCCCCATAGACCCCCCATAGACCCCCTATACACCCCCATAGACCCCTATACACCCCCATAGACCCCCTATACACCACCATAGACCCCTATACACCCCCTATAGACCCCCTATACACCCCCATAGACCCCTTATAGACCCCTATAGACCCCCTATACACCCCCATAGACCCCCTATACACCCCCATAGACCCCCTATAGACCCCTATACACCCCCATAGACCCCTATACACCCCACAGACCCCTATCCCATAGACCCCCATAGACCCCCATAGATCCCCATAGACCCCCAGACACCCCTATAGACCCCTATACACACCCATAGACCCCTATACACCCCCTATACACACATAGACCCCATACACCCCCTATACACCCATAGACCCCATATATCCCCCACAGATCCCCTATACACCCCCATACCATAGACCCCTATACATCCATAGACCCCCATATCCCCTCATAAACCCCCCATAGACCCCCTATACACCCCCATAGACCCCCATACACCCCATACCCCATAGACCCCTATAGTACACCCTATACACCCCCATAGACCCCCTATAGACTCCTATACACCCCCATAGCCCCCCATATCTCCCCATCCCCCCGGGCTCACCCATAGTCGGGCAGGTAATGCAGGAAGGTGGAGCCCAGGACGATGGCGATGGAGACGCCGGCGAAGAAGACGGCGCGCATGTTGTGGACATCAGCCACCGGGTCCGCTGAGAAGCCGTGGTAGTCGGGGTTCTGCCGCGCCGCACATAGGGACACATAGGGACACATAGGGACACATAGGGATACATAGGGACACATAGGGACCCATAGGGACACATAGGGACACATAACCGCACCATAGAGATCCATAGCCGCACCATAGATATCCATAGCCGCCCCATAGGGACACATAGCCTCCCCATAGGGATCCATAGCCACTCATAGGCACCCATAGCCATCCCATAGAGACCCATATCCACCCCATAGGGACTCATATCCACCCCATAGGGACCCATACCCAACCCATAGGGACCAGTGCACCCCACAGAGACCCATACCCAACCCATAGGGACCAATGCACCCCATAGAGACCCATATCCACCTCATAGGGACCAGTGCACCCCATAGGGACCCATATCCACCCCATAGGGAGCAATGCACCCCATACAGACCAGTGCACCCAGAGAGACCCATAGCCACCCCATAAAGACCCATATCCACCCCATAGGGATCCAGTATACCCCTATGGAGCAATACACCCCATAGGAACCCATATACAACCCATAGAGACCCCAATGCACCCCAGAGGGACCCATATCCACTCTATAGGGCCCCTAATACCCTCCATAGAGACCCAAACCCACCCCCCGAGGTCCTTTTCCCCTCTTAACCAGCCCTAGGCCACGCCCCCCAACCACAACCACCAATCAGAACGTAGCTCCTGCTAAGCCATGCCCCTGAGGAAGGAGGCACGCCCACAACCTTTGGCTCCGCCCCATAGAAGGCCACGCCCCCTATAACCACCAATCAGGACATGGCTCCTGCTAATCCCCGCCCCGAAGGATGAAATCACGCCCCCAAGCGTTGGCTTCACCCCCAGAGGCCACACCCCCCACTTCACAAACACCAATCAGAGCCTGGATCCTGCTAACCCCCCGCCCCAAGGCTGTGACCACGCCCCTGTCGTTGGCACCCTCCCAAAGAGAGGCCACGCCCCCACTTTACATCCACCAATCAGAGCCTCGCGCCTAAGCCACGCCTAGAATGTGCAGCCACGCCCCCAAGCAGTGATCCCGCCCCCTCACCAGAGCCCCCGCCCACCTCCATAAGCCCCGCCCCAATTGTGTACCCCATCCCCCGAAGCCCCGCTGCTTTCCAAGCCCCGCCCACCATCCTCTGCGCCACCGCCATTGGCTCCTCCTCGTGCACGTCAGCTCCCAGCGGCCCCCGCGGCAGCGCCACGGCCCCGGGGACCCCGGCCGAGCGGCCCCGCGCCCCGGCCTGCAGCGCCCGCAGCGTCCTCCGCAGCGCCGCCATCTTCCCGGCGGAAGTCCCGCCCCGTCGCCTCCGTTAAATCAATGAGGGCAGCCACCGCCCTCTTCACCAATCACGAGAGAGCGCTCAGATGGCTCCGCCTCCTCGCTCCCGCGTAGCCAATCATAAGCCGTCTCCGTCCACCCTCCCCCTTCTGGCTCCTCCGACGCGAGCCGCAGCCAATCAGAAGCCAAAGCGGCAACGCTCCCTCTCTCCCCCTTATTCGTCCCGCCTCCTCCCCAGCAAGAACCAATGAGAAGCGCGGATACGCTGATGGGCGGGCAGATGGACCAATGGGAGAGCGCCAGGGGCGGGCAGGGGGAGCGGGACGGGCCGGGCGCGGAGCGGCGCCGCCATTTTGCTGGTCGGGAGCGGTGGCGGCGGCGGCCGCGCTGAGCGGAGAGGTCGGGGCCTACCGGGAAAGGCGGGGCGTACCGGGAGGGGCGGGGCCTACCGGGAGGGGCGGGGCTTTACCGGGAGGAGCGGGGCTCAGCCCGGAGAGTCCCTCTCCGCGGTCGCTGATTGGGTAGAAGGGGATGAGGGGGCGTGGCCCGGCGCTGTAGCCCGGCGGGGGGGCGGGGGCGTGGTTACGTATGCTAATGAGGGGCGGGGTATGGCGGGCGTTTCTCCTGGGGACACGTGGCTCCCTGTTCCTCCCAGTCACCCCATAGGGACCCCATCGGCCCCCCCATTCATCCCAGCCATTCTCAGTAGACCCCCCTGTTATCTCCGTCCCAGTGCCCCCCAGTTGATCCCAGTTACCCCCCTGTCTGTTCTGGCGCCTTCCCCATTCATCCCAGTGCCCCCCTATAACCCCTAACCCCCCCCATTCCCTCTTCCCCCCTCCCCAGGTGCCAGCACCATGGAGTACGAACGCAGGTAGGGGGGACCCCAAATCTTGGACTCTTTGGGGGGCAGCGGGGGGGTTTGGGGACCCCCAAAGTGTGGGGGGGGAACCCATGGGGGGGGGAAGGAGACATTGGGGGGGGTTCCTATAGGGGGGGAAATGGGGATTTGTGACCCCCAAAGTGGGTGTGGGGGGGGACATTGAGGGACCCATAAGAGGGAGGCTGCACCCATTGGGGTTGCCCATGGGGAGCCCCCCCATAGGTGACTCTATGGGTATACCCCCAAGGTGGTGGTGGGGGGGGGGAACAGTTGGGACCCCCCCTTGATCTCATCTCCCATAGAGGGGGCCGTGGCGACCGCACCGGCCGCTATGGGGGGGCCCCATCCTCTTCTGAGGAAGGCTCCCGCACCCAACGGGACCACGACTATCGCGACATGGATTATCGCGGCTACGGGGGTCCCCCCGAGGGGCCCTCCACTTCCGGGTCCTCCTCTCAGGTGGGTACCCCCATTGATGCCCCCCCTATGGACCATTACACCCCCCCCCCCCAAATAATGCCCTGATCCCCACTTCCAGGCCTATGAGGGCTCCTCCGAGCCCCCCCGGAAGCGGGACCCCCCCCCGGCGCTGCCCTTTGGTGCCGATGGTGATTACCGGGACCAGGATTACCGGCCCGAGGCGGCCGAGGAGGAGCCGCGCGCCAGCACCATCGTCATGCTGCGCATGCTGCCCCAGGCCGCCACCGAGAACGACGTAAGCCACGCCCCCTCCCTAAGCCCCGCCTCCTTTTTGAGGGGGGCGGGTGCTGGCCCTTTAAATCCCCCCCTTCAATAGGGTTGGAGTGGGGAGGATTGGAGGGGATTGGCCACGCCTCCTTTGAGGAGGCCACGCCCCCCTGTGTGAGGCACACCTGCGTGGTCACGCCTCCCTTATTGAAGCCGTGCCCCCGCCACGGGGGCCACACCCCATTGGCTAAACGATGTCCTTATGTGGCTAAGCCACGCCCCCACATGCCCTAGCCCCCCCCCGTTTGCTCAGCCACACCCCATTGGCTAAGCGATGTCCTTATTTGATTAAGCCACGCCCCCATGTGCCGTAGCCACACCCACTTTGCTAAGCCCCGCCTCCGTCAGGGTAGCCATCCCCCATTGGGTAAACGATGTCTTTATTTGGCTAAGCCACGCCCCCACATGCCCTAGCCCCCCCCTTCACTAAGCCACACCCCATTGGCTAAGCGATGTCCTTATTTGGCTAAGCCACACCCCCACGTGCTGTAGCCCACCCTTCGCTAAGCCACACCCCATTGCCTAAGCGATGTCCTTATTTGGCTAAGCCACGCCCCCATTTGCCATAGCCACCCCCCCCCGCCCCTTCGCTAAGCCCCGCCTCCATCAGGGTAGCCATGCCCCATTGGCTAAACGACGTCTTTATTTGGCTAAGCCACGCCCCCACCTACCTTACCCCTGCCCCCTTTGATAAGCCTGGCTCGACCCCAGTGTGACCTCTCCCTCATTAGCATAAACCACGCCCACTTCTGTCTACCCACACCGCCTTCAATGTCTGCTATAGCACAGCCATGCTCCCTCTCTGTAACCACGCCCCTTTTTCATAAGCCACGCCTCCTCAGGGCACTCCCATTACTTACAATGGGGGGAGCGAGTGGGGGTGTCCCCAATACCAGGGTCCCCCCCCCAGTACCGAAGTCCCCCTTGCATTAATGAGGTGTTCCCCCCCATTACTGAGATCCTCCCCCTTTACTGGGACCCCTCCCCATTACCAAGCTCCCACCCCCATTACCGAGCTCCTCCCCCCATTACCAGGGTCCCCCCCCATTACCAGGACCCCCCCCATTACCAAGCTCCCCTCCATTACCAAGCTCCCCCCATTATTGATCTCCCCCCATTACCGAGCTCCCCCCATTACCAAGCTCCCATTACCGAGCCCCCCCATTACCGAGTTCCCTCCCCATTACCGGGGTCCCTCCCCCCATTACCGGGACCCCCCCCCATTACTGAGCTCCCCCCATTACTGGGGTCCCTCCCCCCATTACTGGGACCCCCCCCATTACTGAGCTCCCCCCATTACCGACCACCCCCCCATTATCGGGGTCCCCCCCATTACTGAGCCCCCACCTTCTCCCTCTGCCCCCCCAGATCCGGGCGCAGCTGCAGGCGCAGGGGGTGCAGCCCCGCGAGGTTCGGTTGATGCGGAACAAGTCCTCAGGTGAGCCCTGCCCCCCCCGGGTGCTGTTGGGTGGGGGTGGGGGGGCACCCATAAATGGGGGAGGGGCACCCATAAATGGGGGGGGGGCACCCATAAACGGGGGGGGCACCCATGAACATGAGTGCTTTATGGGGGGGGGCAACCAGCACCCACCTGCTTCCCTTGGGGTGGAGGGGGGGGGGGTCCTGCTTTACATTGGGGGGCACCCACAGTGGCTGATCCCGTCCCATGGGGCATATAAGGGTGCTGGTCCCATCTTTAGGAGCACCCAGGGGTGCTGCATTAAACATAGGGGGCACCCAGGGGTGTCTGTTCCCACCTTAGGGGGCACCCAAGGGTACTGCATTAAACTTAGGGGGCACCCAGGGGTGCTGATCCCATCTCTAGGAGCACCCAGGGGTGCTGCATTAAACATAGGGGGCACCCAGGGGTGTCTGTTCCCACCTTAGGGGGCACCCAAGGGTGCTGATCCCATCTATAGGAGCACCCAGGGGTGCTGGTCCCATCTTTAGGAGCACCCAGGGGTGCTATATTAACCATAGGGGGCACCCAGGGGTGCAGATCCTGACCCCAGGAGCACCCAGGGGTGCTGCATTAAACTTAGGGGGCACCCAGGGGTGCTGGTCCCATCTTTAGGAGCACCCAGGGGTGCTGCATTCAACTCAGGGGGCACCCAGGGGTGCTGATCCCGTCTATAGGAGCACCCAGGGGTGCTGATCCCATCTATAGGAGCACCCAGGGGTGTCTGTTCCCACCTTAGGGGGCACCCAAGGGTGCTGATCCCATCTATAGGAGCACCCAGGGGTGCTGATCCCATCCCCAGGAGCACCCAGGGGTGCTGATCCCGTCTATAGGAGCACCCAGGGGTGTCTGTTCCAACCTTAGGGGCACCCAGGGGTGTCTGTTCCCACCTTAGGGGGCACCCAGGGGTGCCCATTCTCTCCCCAGGGGCACCCAGGGGTGCTGATCCCATCTCGAGGAGCACCCAGGGGTGCTGGTCCCATCCCCAGGGGCACCCAGGGGTGCCGGTCTTGTCCCTAGAGAGCACCCAGGGGTGCTGGGCTGGACTTGGGGGGGCACCCAGGGGTGCCCATCCCCTCCCTAGGAGCACCCAGGGGTGCTGGAGACCTTCCCAGGAGCACCCAGGGGTGCTGAGGCACAGAGAGGGGGCACCCAGGGGTGCCCACCCCCCTTACCCAGGAGCACCCAGGGGTGCTGAGCCATAGCCAAGGGGCACCCAGGGGTGCCGGAGCCTTCCCCAGGAGCACCCAGGGGTGCTGATCCCATCCCTAGGGGCACCCAGGGGTGCCAGAGCCTTCTCCAGGAGCACCCAGGGGTGCTGGTCTTGGTCCCAGGAGCACCCAGGGGTGCTGAGGCGTAGCTGGGGGCACCCAGGGGTGCCCGTGTCCTACCTAGAGGGTCCCAGAGGCATCTATAGGAGCTCAGAAGGGGTCCCATAGGGGTTTGAGGAGCACCCATAGGTGCCCATGGGGGGCGCAGAAAGGTTCCAGGAGCACCCATGGGTGCCCATTGAGAGCAATGCCAGGAGCACCCATGGGTGCCCATTGAGAGCGATGCCAGGAGCACCCATGGGTGCCATTGAGAGCAGTGCCAGGAGCAGCCATGGGTTCCCATTGAGAGCAGTGCCAGGAGCACCCATGGGTGCCATTGAGAGCAATGCCAGGAGCACCCATGGGTGCCCATTGAGAGCAATGCCAGGAGCACCCATGGGTGCCCATTGAGAGCAGTGCCAGGAGCACCCATGGGTTCCCATTGAGAGCGATGCCAGGAGCACCCATGGGTTCCCGTTGAGAGCAGTGCCAGGAGCACCCATGGGTGCCCATTGAGAGCAGTGCCAGGAGCACCCATGGGTGCCCATTGAGAGCAGTGCCAGGAGCACCCATTCCCAACCAAGGGGGTTCCCAGGGGCACCCATACCCAGCGGGGGGAGGGGGGGCACCCATGGGTGCTGTCCCTGACCCCCCCCGGCTCCGTTCCAGGTCAGAGCCGCGGCTTCGCCTTCGTGGAGTTTCACCACGTCCAGGACGCGGCGCGGTGGATGGACGCCAACCAGGTCCTTGCGCGGCACCCGCGTGGCACCGTCACGTGACACTGTCATGTGACACCCCCTTTGGACACTGTCATGTGACGCCATCACGTGACACCCCCATGGGACACTGACATGCGACACCCCTATGGGACACTGACATGGCGCCGTCACGTGACACCTGCATGTGACATTGACATGTGACACCGTCACGTGACGCTCTCATGGGACACTGCCATATGGCACCATCACGTGACACCGGCATGTGACATTGACATGTGACACCATCACGTGACACCCCCATGGGACACTGACATACAGCACTGTCACGTGACACCCTCATGTGACACTGATGTGGCACCATCATGTGATGCTCTCATGGGACACTGACATATGGCACTGTCATGTGACACATACATGTTACATTGACATGTGACACCATCACGTGACACCCTCATGGGACACTGACTTGGCAACGTCACATGATGCTCCTATAGGACACTGACATATGGCACCGTCACGTGACACCCACATGTGACACTGGCATGTTACATTGACATGTGACACCCCCATGGGACACTGACGTGTGGCACCGTCACGTGACACCCTCATGTTCTGAGGATGGAGGCACAGACCCAGAGGGGGGAATGCTGCACATCATGTGACACGTGGCACTGTCATGTGACAGCCCCCATGTGACACTGTCATGTGACAGCACCCATGTGATGCTGTCATGTGGCACTCTCACATGACACACGTGACACCCACATGTGGCACCCTCATGTGATGTCATGTGATACCTGCATGTGACATAGTCGTGTGACATCGTCATGTGACACCCATGTGGGACACTCTCACGTGACACCCACACGACACTTTTGTTGCACTGTCATGTGACGCTCACGTGACACCCACATGTGACACTCTCACATTACGCCCACTTGTGACACCCACATCTGATGCTGTCATGTGACACTCTCATGTGACACGTGACACCTTCACATGACACCCACCTGCAAGGGCTTAGGGGGGAGCCCCCATGGGAGCCCCTTGTGTGAGGCCATTGGGTGCCCTTGGGTGACACACTCACGTGACACTGTCATGTGACACCCACATGTGAAACGGTCACGTGACACTGTCACGTGACACTCGCCTGCAAGGGCCATGGGGGGATCCCTTGGTCAGAGCCTCCCATGGGCCCTGGTGCAAGGCCCCAGCTCCCCCATCGGAAGGTCATGTGACCCCAGTGCCCCCCATGCACGCCATGGGGCAGCCCCACAGTGAACCCCAATGGCAGCCCCATAGCAAACCCCAGTGCTCTCAATGGCAGCCCCATAGCAAACCCTGGTGCTCTCAATGGCAGCCCCATAGCGAACCCCAATGGCAGCCCCATAGCGAACCCCGGTGCTCTCAATGGCAGCCCCATAGCGAACCCCAATGGCAGCCCCATAGCGAACCCCAGTGCTCTCAATGGCAGCCCCATAGCAAACCCTGATGCTCTCAATGGCAGCCCCATAGCGAACCCCGGTGCTCTCAATGGCAGCCCCATAGCAAACCCCGGTGCTCTCAATGGCAGCCCCATAGCAAACCCCGGTGCTCTCAATGGCAGCCCCATAGCAAACCCCGGTGCTCTCAATGGCAGCCCCATAGCAAACCCCGGTGCTCTCAATGGCAGCCCCATAGCAAACCCTGGTGCTCTCAATGGCAGCCCCATAGCGAACCCCGGTGCCAGCCCCATAGCGAACCCCAATGGCAGCCCCATAGTGAACCCTGGTGCTCTCAATGGCAGCCCCACAGCGAACCCCAATGGCAGCCCCATAGCAAACCCCTGGTGCTCTCAATGGCAGCCCCATAGCGAACCCCAATGGCAGCCCCATAGCGAACCCTGGTGCTCTCAATGGCAGCCCCATAGCGAACCCCAATGGCAGCCCCATAGCAAACCCCATTGCTCTCAATGGCAGCCCCATAGCAAACCCCATTGGTCTCAATGGCAGCCCCATAGCCCCGTCCTCTCCTGCTCTGGGTCTGTGTGGGGCTGGGCCCCATAGCTCACCCCACACTGCCCCCACAGCAAGGGCTGAGCCTGCTGGGGCACCGCGTGTCCCTGCACTACAGCGACCCCAAGCCCAAGATCAATGAGGACTGGCTCTGCGCTAAGGTGGGGAGCTCTGTGGGGGGCTATGGGGCTCTATGGGGGGCTATGGGGGGTTATGTGGGTCTTAGAGGGGTCTATGGGGCAGTTATGGGGGTCTATGGGGGGTCTTAAAGGGGTCTATGGGGGGGCTTATGGGGGTCTTAGAGGGGTCTATGGGGGGGTTATGGGGGTCTTAGGGGGGCTATGGGGGTCTTAGAGGGGTTATGGGGGTCTTAGGGGGTCATGGGGTGGTTATGGGGGGCTATGGGGGTCTTAGGGGGTCTATGGGGGGTTATGGGGGTCTTAGGGGGTCTATGGGGGTCTTAGAGGGGTCTATGGGGGATTATGGGGGTCTTAGGGGGTCTATGGGGGTCATAGAGGGTCTATGGGGGTCTTAGAGGGGTCTATGGGGGGTTATGGGGGTCTTAGAGGGGTCTATGGGGGTTTAGGGGGGTCTATGGGGGGTTATGGGGGGCTATGGGGGTTTAGAGGGGTCTATGGGGGGTTATGGGGGTCTTAGGGGGGTCTATGGGGGGTTATGGGGGTCTTAAGGGGGGTCTATGGGGGGTTATGGGGGTCTTAGGGGGGTCTATGGGGGGTTATGGGGGTCTTAGAGGGGTCTATGGGGGGCTATGGGGGTCTTGGGGGTTTATGGGGGTCTTAGAGGGGTCTATGGGGGGCTATGGGGATCTTAGGGGGTCTATGGGGGGTTATGGGGGTCTTGGAGTGTTTATGGGGTCTGGGGGGGTTATGGGGATCCTTGGGGCATCCTAATGTGGGTCTATGGGAGCCCTGGGGGGCCCTAAGGGGGCTTGGGGGGAGGTGTTAAGGGGGTGCATTGGGGTGTGCATTGGAGGCTATTGGGTGCTATGGGGTGCATTGGGGGCTATTGGGTGCTATGGGGGTGCATTGGAGGCTATTGGGTGCTATGGGGGGTTTTGGGGGTCCCATAGTGTGGGGTGCAGAACTTCAAGCGCCGGGAGAAGTGCTTCAAGTGCGGGGTGCCCAAAGCTGGTGAGTTACCCAAAACCCCCTGATTTCACCCCAAAATCCCTGATTTCACCCCAAAAACACTGACTTTACCCAAAAAACACTGATTTCACCCCAAAACACTGATTTCAGCCCCAACCCCCCGATTTCAACCCCAAACCCCTTGATTTCACCCCCCAAAACACTGATTTCACCCCAAAACCCCTTGATTTTATCCCCAAAACCCCTGATTTCAGCCCAAAACCTCTTCAGACCCCCGATTTTGGGATGAAATCACCCAATTTGGGGATGAAAAACACTGATTTTGAGGTTAAAATCCCTGATTTTGGTGTGAAACCACCCAATTTTGGGTTGAAAAACCCCGATTTTGGTATGAAACCACCCAATTTTTCTATGAAATCCCCCAATTTGGGGATGAAACCACCCAATTTTGGGTTGAAAAACCCCGATTTTGGGATGAAACCACCCAATTTTGGGGTAAACCCCCCGATTTTGGGGTGAAACCACCCAATTTTGGGGTGGAAAATCCTGATTTTGGGGTGAAAAACGCCGATTTTGGGGAGAAACCACCCAATTTTGGGTTTAAAAATGCCGATTTTGGGGTGAACCTCCCCGATTTTGGGGTGAAACCACCCAATTTTGCTGTAAACCCCCCTATTTTGGGGTGAAAACCCCCAATTTTAGGGTGAAAACCCCTGATTTTGGGGTGAAACCCCCCAATTTTAGGGTTAAAACCCTGATTTTGGGGTGAAAACCCCCGATTTTGGGGTGAAAACCCCTGATTTTGGGGTGAAACCACCCAATTTTGGGGTTAAAACCCTGATTTTGGGGTGAAAACCCCCGATTTTGGGGTGAAAACCCCTGATTTTGGGGTTCCACCTCTAACAGGGGGGGTTTCAATGTCCTTTTGGGGTGCAGAAGGAGAACAGCGGGGCCCGGGGGGGCCACGAGCGGAGCTGGGGCCTGGAGGAGGGGGGGGGCTGCTGCCCCTCCCCCAACCCTATGGGCCTGCAATGGGGGGGACCCCCGGGGGGGGCTCCCATGGGGGGACCGAGCCTGGAGCTGACAACGCCAATGACAGTGAGTGGGGGAGGGGCTGGGGGGGGTTATGGGGGGGTCATGTGCCTATGGGGGGGTTATGGGTGCCTAAGGGGGGGTTATGGGTGCTCAAGGGGGGGTTATGGGTGTCTATGGGGGGGTTATGGGTGCCTAAGGGGGGGTTATGGGTGCTCAAGGGGGTGTGTATTGGGTGTTCAAGGAGGGGTTATGGGTGTCCAAGCGGGGGTTATGGGTGTCTATGGGGGGGTTATGGGTGTCTATGGGGGGGTTATGGGTGCTCAAGGGGGGGTTATGGGGTTCAAGGAGGGGTTATGGGTGTCCAAGCGGGGGTTATGGGTGTCTATGGGGGGGTTATGGGTGCCTAAGGGGGGGTTATGGGTGCTCAAGGGGGGGTTATGGGTGCTCTATGAGACTTACGGGGTGTTCAGTGGGATGCTCTATGGGATGCTCTATGGGCTGCTCTATGGGATGCTCTATGGGATACTCTAATGGTCGCTCTATGGGCCGCTCCATGGGCTGCTCTATGGGCTGCTCTATGGGATGCTCTATGGGATGCTCTATGGGACGCTCTATGGGATGCTCTATGGGCTGCTCTATGGGATGCTCTATGGGATGCTCTATGGGATACTCTAATGGTCGCTCTATGGGCCACTCCATGGGCTGCTCTATGGGATGCTCTATGGGATGCTCTATGGGCTGCTCTATGGGATGCTCTATGGGCTGCTCTATGGGATACTCTATGGGCCGCTCTATGGGATGCTCTATGTGGAGCTCTATGGGATGCTCCATGGGGAGCTCCATGTGGAGCTCTGTGGGTCCCATCTCCCCCCTTTCCCCCCATTCCCCCCCAGCCATCATCCTGCGGAACCTGCACCCCCAGAGCAGCCTGGAGTCCATCCTCACCGCGCTCGCCCCCTTCGCCGCGCTCTCGGCCGCCAACGTCCGCGTCATCAAGGACCGGCAGACCCAGCTCAACCGCGGCTTCGCCTTCGTGCAGCTCAGCACCATCGTGGTGGGTGCTCAGCACCCCCTTATGGGGATGGGCATTGGGGGGTGCCCCTGGGGGCAGCTCCATTATAACAATGGGGGGGTATTGGAGGACACCCCCCCATCCTAACCACCATTGCTCTGGTTATGGGGTGCCCCATAGGAGGCCTCGCAGCTGCTGCAGATGCTGCAGGCCCTGCACCCCCCCCTGCACATCGATGGCAAGAGCATCAATGTGGAGTTCGCTAAAGGCTCCAAGCGGTGAGGCCACGCCCCCTTTTAGACCACACCCCCCTTAAGCTCCTCCCCTCCCTAAGCCCTGTGCCGTTAGGCCATGCCCCCTTCAGGCCACACCCCCTTGAGCTCCTCAATTCACCAAGCTCTGTCCCATTAGGCCACGCACACACCCCACTTAGGCCACGCCCACTTAGGCCACACCCTCTTACGCTGCTCCCCTATTTAAGCGCCGACCTCTTAGGCCACGCCCCTTCAGGCCATGCTCCCTTCTGGCCACGCCTCATTAGCTTATCCCCTCTTAAAGCCACCCCCCCATGGGACACGCCCCCTTTAGCTCCACCCCTCCCATCCTGTCCCTTTAAGCCACGCCCCCTTTACGTCATGCCCCCTTAAGATACTGCCCTCCTTTAACCCCATATGTTTTGGCCACGCCCCCTTCGGCTCCACCCCTTCATAAGCCCCGCCCCCAAGCCCCAGCCACCCTCCCTGCATGAAACCCCCCCCATGGGACTCCCCAAGCCCCACCCTCGGCCGTAAGCCACGCCTAAAATCCTTAGACCACGCCCCCAACAAGGCTCAGCCTATAGAATGGCATTAAGGGTACGCTCAGCCCCCGCCCTCTGCCCCTTAGCCCCGCCCATAACCCCACTAAACTCTTCCTCAGACACCCCCCAACCAATGGTTCCACCCCTGCCCACAAGCCCCGCCCACTGCCTTTTAGTCCCACCCACCGCACTAAACCCCGCCCCCCGTCCCTGGCCCCGCCTCCTGCAGCGAGGCCCCGCCCCTGAGCCGAGGCCATGACCCCGCCCCCAGGGAGGTGCAGGGGGCGGGGCCAGGGGAGGGCCCCCCCCGCGCCAGCGCCGCCTCCGTCGCCTCGACCGCCATCGCTGCTGCCCAATGGGCGCTCTCCCAGGTGGGCGGGGCTTAGGGGAGGGGCGGGGCTTGAAGGGAGGCCGGGGGGGGCTTGAAGGGAGGGGCCTTTCCTGCCTTCCTTATAAGGGAGAGGTGTGGGCACGGGGTGGGCGGGGTTTGTCGAGGGGGCGTGTCCTGACGTGGCCCCGCCCCTTCCCGCAGGCCGCCCCTGGCTCCGACACGACGTGGGCCGGGGGGGAGGAGCCTCCCAGTGACTTCAGCAGCTTCTACCAATCAGAGGAGACCTTCAGCGGCCCCGCCCCTTCCCTCTACGGCTCCGCCTACCTCAAGGGCTCCGCGGCCCCGCCCTCTGGCCCCACCCACTCTGGCTCCGCCCCTCCCAAGGCCGATGGCCCCGCCCCTGGTGAGTGCCCCCCCCCCCCATAGGTCCCCATTGTTTGGGGCACCCCTCCTTCTCCATAGGACCCCATTGTGTGGGGCACCCCCTCCCCATAGGACCCCATTGTATGGGTCACCCCCGCTCACTTCTCCATAGGACCCCATTGTGTGGGGCACCCCACCCCCCATAGGAACCCCCTCCCCATAGGACCCCACTGTGTGAGGCAACCCCCCCCATTTCCATAGGACCCCATTATGTGGGGCACCCCCGCCATTGGACCCCATTGTGTAGACACCCCCCCCCATAGGACCCCATTTTATGGGGCACCTCCCTCCCATAGGACCCCATTTTATGGGGCACACCCCCCCCATACGACCCCATTGTATGGGTCACCCCCCTACACTTCTCCATAGGACCCCATTATGTGGGGCACCCTATAGGGGGGACCCCCAAGTGTGGGGCTCAATGGGGGGGGGGCAGCACCCTATATTAACACATGAACCCCCCCCCCCAGGTGTAGAGGAGCCGCCAGTGCTGAGCCTGGAGCACACAGCGGGGGGGGGGCCCTCTCCCGCCCCCCCAAGGGGCCCCCTCTCCCCCCCCCACTGCTGAGACCCCCAATGCCCCCCCCCAGGGTGCCCCCCCCCAGGTATGTATAAGGTGGGGGGGGGGGCACCCATAAGGGGGGGGGATGTTGGGGGGTCCCCAAAATGGGGGGGGGGGGCAAAATGTAGGGAGGAAATGGGAGGCCCCATAAGTTGGGGGAGGGCCTAAAAAGGGGGGGTTGGCCAATAATGGGGGTTATGGGGTGATTGGGGGGGTAATTAAAGGGGGTCAATAATGGGGGTTATGGGGTGATTGGGGGTTAATTAAAGGGGGTCAATAATGGGGGCTATGGGGTGATTGGGGGGTAATTAAAGGGGGTCAATAATGGGGGTTATGGGGTGATTGGGTTAATTAAAGGTGGTCAATAATGGGGGTTATGGGGTGATTGGGGGGTTAATTAAAGGTGGTCAATAATGGGGGTTATGGGGTGATTGGTGGGGTTTTGGGGTTCGGGGGGGTTAATAAAGGGGGCATCTCCCCCCCCCCAGGCTTATACAGGGCCCCTCAAGGCTGAGACCCCCACCCCAGCCCCCAGTGGGCCCCCCCCTGCCGCCCCCCCCACCTCTGAGTCCTATGGCCAGTACCGTGAGTGATGGGGGGGTCTATAGGGGTTATGGGGGTGTCTATAGGGGTTATGGGGGGTGCCTATAGGGGTTATGGGGGGGTCTATAGGGGTTATGGGGGGGTCTGTATAGGGCCTATGGGGGGAATGGGGGGTTGTCTATAGGGGTTATTGGGGTGTCTATAGGGATTATGGGTTAATGGGGGGGTGTATATAGTGTTTATGGGGGGGTCTATAGGGGTTATGGGGCTGTCTATACTGGTTATGGGGGGGGCTATTGGGAGGCTTGAATGCAATCTTATAGAGGGATGTAAGGGGAAATCCTTCCCTTATTGGGATGGGAGGGTCCAAGTCTTTGGGGGGGGGTCCCCTATATATGGGCCCCCCATGACCCCCCTTTCCCCCCCATAGCGGTCCCTGATGTCTCCACCTACCAATACGACGAGACCTCAGGCTATTACTATGACCCCCTCACCGGGCTCTATTACGACCCCCATTCTCAGGTGGGTGCTTTTGGGGTGCAAATTAGGGGGTCCCCCTCTTCCATAGGGGCAGAATTGGGGCCAAACGCTGCAGATTTGGGGGCTGAAAAGGTTGGGAGAGGTTTTTGGGGTGAGAAACGAGCGTTTGGGGGCTTTAAAACAGGGGGGGTTGTGGGAGGAAGGGACCAAGTTGGGGTCCATGGGGGGGGGGGAGGGACCATTTAGGGGTCTATGGGGGGGGAGTGTCATTTAGGGTGGGGTGGGGATGGGTGGAGGTATAATTTAGGGGTCTATGGAGGGGGGAGGGACAGTTTAGGGGTCGATGGGGGGGGGGTCAATTTCAGGGTTTATGGGGGGGGCATTGTAGGGGTCCAGGGGGGGCGAGGTGCCATTTAGGGGTCCATGGGGGGGGGAGGGAGCCATTTAGGGGTCCATGGGGGGGGAGGGACCATTTTAGGGGTCTATGGGGGGGGAGGGGGCCATTTAGGGGTCGATGGGGGGGGGAGTGTCATTTAGGGGTCCATGGGGGGGGAGGGACCATTTAGGGGTCTATGGGGGGGGAGGGACCATTTAGGGGTCCATGGGGGGGGAGGGACCATTTAGGGGTCTATGGGGGGGAGGGACCATTTAGGGGTCTATGGGGGGGGAGGGACCATTTAGGGGTCTATGGGGGGGGGAGGGACCATTTAGGGGTCTATGGGGGGGGAGGGACCAATTAGGGGTCTATGGGGGGGGAGGGACCAATTAGGGGTCTATGGGGGGGGAGGGACCAATTAGGGGTCTATGGGGGGGTTCATTGCAGTGCATGGGGGGGTGTATTTTGGGGTGCCCCCCACCCTAACCCCCCCCCCCTTTCCCACCAGTACTATTACGATGCTGGAGCAGGCCAGTACCTGTACTGGGATGGGGAGCGCCGCACGTACCTGGCGGCCCCCCCCGCCGAGCCCCCCCCCGGCCCCCCCGGCCCCCCAAAAGAGCCCAAGGACAAGAAGGAGAAGCACAAGACCAAGACAGCTCAGCAGGTGAGCACCCATGGGTGCTGCCCCCCCCCGCACCCCATTATCATGGACAGCACCCCATTATCATGGACACCCCCCTTCCCACCCCCCCCAGAACACAGTATGGGTGTCAATGGGATATGGGGGTCGCCATAGAGAGCAATAGCACCCATGGGTGCTGCACCCCCCCACCCTTACATAGCACCCATAAGGGGGGCTCAGCGCCCCATTATTATGGACACCACCCCCCCCAGAACACAATATGGGTGTCAATGGGATATGGGGGTCACCATAGAGAGCAATAGCACCCATGGGTGCGCATGGACATGGAGGAGCACCCATGGAGCACAATGGGACCCCATCCATCCCAATAGCACCCATGGGTGCCCAGCAGCCCCTATGGGTTCTCATCCCCCCCAGTAGCACCCATGGGTGCCCAGCAGCCCCTATGGGTCCTCATCCCCCCCAATAGCACCCATGGGTGCCCAGCAGCCCCTATGCTTCCCTATCCCTCCCAGCAGCACCCATGGTTCCACATCACCCCCAATAGCACCCATGGGTGCCCAGCAGCCCCTATGCTTCCCTATCCCTCCCAGTAGCACCCATGGTTCCACATCCACCCCAATAGCACCCAATGGGTGCCCAGCAGCCCCTATGGGTTCTCATCCCCCCCAATAGCACCCATGGGTGCCCAGCAGCTCCCCCCAACCCCCCCCCCCACAGCCATGGGTGCCCAGCAGCCCCCCCAGTAGCACCCACGGGTGCCCAGCACCCCCTCTGGGCCCCCCTCCACCCTGACCCCCCCCTGCACCCATGGGTGCTCAGCAGCCCCTATGCTTCCACATCCCCCCCAGTAGCACCCAATGGTGCCCAGTGGCCCCCCCGTGGCCCCAACCCATGGGTGCCCGGCACCCCCTCTGGGCCCCCCCACCCTGACCCCCCCCGCACCCATGGGTGCTCAGCAGCCCCTATGCTTCCACATCCCCCCCAATAGCACCCAATGGTGCCCAGTGGCCCCCCCAGTAGCACCCATGGGTGCCCAGCACCCCCTCTGGGCCCCCCCCCCCACCCTGACCCGCACCCATGGGTGCTCAGATCGCCAAGGACATGGAGCGCTGGGCGCGCAGCCTCAACAAGCAGCGGGAGAGCGGGCGCAGCGCGGGGCCCCCCCCGCCCCCCCGAGAGGACGAGAGGAGGGAGGCGGCCGCGGCCGATGCTGGATACGCGATCCTGGAGAAGAAGGTGCACCCATGGGTGCTATGGGGGGGTATGGGGGCTATGGGGGGTAATGGGTGTCTATGGGGGTAATGGGGGTCTATGGGGGTAATGGGGGTCTATGGGGGGTAATGGGTGTGTATAGGGGGGTAATGGGGGTCTATGGGGGGTAATGGGGGTCTATGGGGGTAATGGGGGTCTATGGGGGGGTAATGGGTGTCTATGGGGGGTAATGGGTGTCTATGGGGGGTAATGGGTGTCTATGGGGGGTATGGGTGCTATGGGGGGTAATGGGTGTCTATGGGGGGGTAATGGGTGTCTATGGGGGGGTATGGGTGCTATGGGGGGGTATGGGGGCTATGGGGGGGTAATGGGTGTCTATGGGGGGGTATGGGTGCTATGGGGGGTAATGGGTGCTATGGGGGGCTATGGGTGCTATGGGGGGTAATGGGGGCTATGGGGGGGTATGGGTGCTATGGAGGGGGTATGGGTGCTATGGAGGGGTATGGGTGTGTATGGGGGTGTATGGGGGCTATGGGGGGGTATGGGTGTTATGGGGGGGTATGGGTGCTATGGGGGTGGTATGGGTGCTATAGGAGATATGGGTGCTATGGGGGGATGTGTGCTGGTAACGGGTGCTGTGGGTGCCATAGGGTGTGCTGGGGAGCTATAGCATGGGGGGAGCAGTGGGTGCTGCCCATAGGAGAGCAATGGGGCTGCAAGAAGCACCCCATATCCCCCCCCCCAGCACCCATGGGTGCCCCCTAACTCTGACACCCCCCCCAGGGTGCTCTGGCTGAGCGGCAGCACCCACCCATTGAGCTGCCCAAGCTGGCGAGTGACGAGCGGCTGGTGAGCCCCCACCCATGGGTGCCCCCCCTTGATCCCCCCTCCATTGATTCCCCCCATTGATCCCCTCTCCATTGATTCCCCCCCATTGATCCCCCCCCTTGATCCCCCCCATTGATCCCCCCCTTGATTCCCCCCATTGATCCCCACTCCATTGATTCCCCTCCATTGATCCCCCCCCTTGATCCCCCCTCCATTGATTCCCCCCATTGATCCCCCCATTGATCCCCCATTGATGCCCCCCCCACCCATTGATTCCCCCCATTGATTCCCCCATTGATTCCTCCATTGATCCCTCCCATTGATCCCCCTATTAATCCCCCCCCATTAATCCCCCCCCATTGACACCCTCCCATTGGAGCTCTCCCATTGATCCCCCCCCACTGATGCCCTCCCATTGGTTCCCCCTCCCATTGGTTCCCCCTCCCATTGGTTCCCCCTCCCATTGGTTCCCCCTCCCCATTGATCCCTCCCATTGGTTCCCCCTCCCATTGATCCCTCCCATTGATTCCCCCCCCCCACATTGATCCCTCCCATTGGTTCCTCCCTCATTGATCCCTCCCATTGGTTCCTCCCCCATTGATCCCTCCCATTGCCTCCCTTTCCCATTGATCCCTCCCATTGGTTCCCCCTCCCCACTGACTCCCTCCCATTGGCTCTCCCCCCTTAGAGCCCACCCCGCGGGCTCGTGGCCGCCTACAGCGGGGAGAGCGAGAGCGAGGAGGAGGCGGAGCGAGGGGCGGAGCGTGGCCCGGAGGCGCTCACTGATTGGCTGAAGCTCGCGTGCCTGCTCTGCCGCCGGCAGTTCCCGAGCCGGGAGGCGCTGCTGAGGCACCGGCAGCTCTCGGGACTGCACCGGGTGAGCGCCCCTGCCCCGCCGGGGGGGAGACCCCGTGGGGCCTCAGTGGGGAGCCCTTGGGTGTAATGGGGGGAGACCCCGTGGGGCCTCAATGGGGAGCCCGTCGGGCCTCAATGGGGAGCCCTTGGGTGCAATGGGGGGGAGCCCCTGTGTGAAATGGGGGGGAAACCCCGTTGTGCCTCAATGGGGAGCCCCTGTGTGCAACGGGCGGGAGACCCCGTGGTGCCTCAGTGGGGAGCCCCTGTGTGCAATGGGGGGTAGACCCCGTGGTGCCTCAGTGGGGAGCCCTTGGGTGTAATGGGGGGGAGACCCCGTGGGGCCTCAGGAGGGAGCCCCTGTGTGCAATGGGGGGGAGACCCCGTGGGGCCTCAATAGGGGGGCCCCTGTGTGCAATGGGGGGAGACCCCGTGGGGCCTCAATGGGGAGCCCTTTGTGTCCAATGGGGACTCCTTTGTGTCCATTGGGGACCCCCTTTTGTCCAATGGGGACCCCCTTGTGCCCAATGGGGACCCCCTTGTGCCCAATGGGGACCCCTTTGCCTATTGGGAGCATCCCCAAGGGGGGGTCCCCTCAATGGGTGCTGGGTGCCCTTTAAGGGGTTTTGGGGACCCCTCAGCAGGGCAGTGGGGAGGTTTTGGGGACCCCCCCCCCATAACAGTGTCTGTTGTGTCTGTGCCCCCCCCATAGCAAAACCTGGAGCTGCAGCGCCGCAATCAGGCCCCCCCCTCCGAGGGGCTGGACCGGAGCGAGATGGAGGTGGGGGGGGGCACCCATGGGTGCTATGGGGGCACTTATGGGGGTATCTATGGGGCACTTATGGGGGTATCTGTGGGTGCTATGGGGCACGTATGGGGGTATCTATGGGGGTATCTGTGGGGGAGTTATGGGGGTTAACTATGGGTGCTATTGGGCACTTATGGGGGTATCTATGGGTGCTATGGGGCATTTATGGGGTTATCTGGGTGCTATGGGGCACGTATGGGGTTATCTATGGGTGCTATGGGGCACTTATGGGGGTATCTGTGGGTGCTATGGGGCACTTATGGCGATATCTATGGGGCAGTTATGGGGGTATCTATGGGTGCTATGGGGCACTTATGGGTCTCTAGGGGTCACTTATAGGTGTCTATGGGTACCTATGGGGCACTTATAGGTCTCTATGGGGCACTTATGGGTCTCTATGGGGCACTTATGGGTGTCTATGGGTCCCTATTGGGCACTTATGGGTCTCTATGGGGCACTTATGGGTCTCTATGGGGCACTTATGGGTGTCTATGGGGCACTTATGGGGCACTGGAGGTATTTATGGGTCTCTATGGGGCACTTATGGGGGTATCTATGGGGCACTTATAGGGGTATCTATGGGGCACGTATGGGGGTTATCTATGGGTGCTGATGGACACTTATGGGGGTATCTATGGGTGCTATGGAGCACGTATGGGGGTTATCTATGGGGCACGTATGGGGGTATCTGTGGGTGCTATGGGGCACTTATGGGGTTATCTATGGGGCACTTATGGGGTTATCTATGGGGCACGTCTGGGGGTGTCTGTGGGTGCTGATGGCACCCATGGGTGCTCCCCCCCCAGATGAAGTACCGGGACCGGGCAGCCGAGCGCCGGGAGAAACAGGGGGGGCCCGACCCCCCCGAGCCCAAACGGCGCAAATTTGGGGGGCCCCCCCCCACCTCTGGGTGAGCACCCATTGACCCCCCAAGAACCGAGGGTGCCCCAAAAGTGGGTGCTATGGGGGGTGGGGACCCCACTGTGGGTGCTATGGGGTCCAATGTGGGTGCTATGGGACCCAATGGGGGTGCTATGGGGTCTCTATGGGGGTGCTATGGGGTCTCTATGTGGGTGCTATGGGACCCAATGTGGGTGCTATGGGGTCTCTATGGGGGTGCTATGGGACCCAATGGGGGTGCTATGGGGTCGCTATGGGGGTGCTATGGGGTCGCTATGGGGGTGCTATGGGTGTGCTATGGGGTAGCTATGGGGTCCCTATGGGGGTGCTATGGGGTCTCTAGGGGTGCTATGGGACCCAATGGGGGTGCTATGGGGTCCCTATGGGGGTGCTATGGGGTCTCTATGGGGCGCTGGGGGCTGTTGCAGGGAGGGGGAGGGGGCCCTGCCCCTCGGGTGCCGGATGCTGCAGGCCATGGGCTGGAAGGAGGGGAGCGGCCTGGGCCGGCGGCGACCTGAGGTGACCCTGGGGGGCAATGGGGGGGATCAATGGGGGGCAATGATGGGCAATGGGGGGTAATGGGGGGGCAGTGGGGGGGCAATGTGGGAACAATGGGGGGCAATGGGGTTGGCAGTGGGGTCAATGGGGGGGATGGGGGCAATGGGTGGGGCAATGGGGGGCAATGCATGGCAATGGGGGGGCAATGGGGTCAATGGGGGGAATGAGGGGCAATGGCAATGGGGGGGTCATATGGGGACATAAGGGGGGACATTGGGTTATGGGGGGTATAGGGACATGGGGGTCATGGGGGACAAGGGGGCAATGGGGTGGATGGGGGGTCAGAAGGTACATGGGGGGTCATATGGGGACGTAAGGGGGGACACTGGGTCATGGGGGGCTCACAGGGCCATGGGGGCCATGGGGTGGGGGGGACCCATAGGGTCATGTGAGGACATGGGGGGGGGATTGGTGTCTCGTGATCACGTGAGAGGGTGTGGTGTGGCCCCACGTGACCCCACGTGACTTCACCCCCCCTCCCCCCAGGCTCCGACCCGGCCCCGCCCCGGGGGGGTGACGCGTTTCAGCGAAGGACCCTAAGCCCCGCCCCCACCCCTTGGCCCCGCCCCCTGGGGTTTCCCAATGACCCCCAATGGGAGGGGTGTGGGGAAACCCCACTTTGTCCCCGCCCCCCCCGGCGGTGGCCCCTTCCCCTCCCCCCCATCCCCCCAACTTCGCGATTTTGGGGCTTTTTGTTGTGTTTTGAGGGTTTTTTTTCCAATAAAAAGATGAAAAAAGAAATTTGGAGGTTTTTTTGGGGGGGTGGGGGAGGGGCCGGATCCCCCTAATGGGGGATGAGATGGGAGGGGGGAGGGGCAGGTTTCACCCTGACCATTGTGGTTCCCCCCCCCTCCCCCCACTTCCCCTGGATGGGGGCCTTGCCCCTCCCCCCACTTCCCCTTGGCCCCAATACAGCGGGGGGGAGGGGCCAAGTTCCCCCTTCCCACCCCCCCCACCCCCCCAATGGCGTGTATGGGGCTGCTGCTGCTGCTGCTCTGTGCTGGGCTGGGGGCCCCCGCTGGTACTGGGAGCACTGGGATAGACTGGGAGCAATGGGAGGGGATGGGGTACTGGGAGTACTGTGATAGACTGGGAGCAATGGGAGGGGATGGGGCAATTGGGGTACTGGGATATACTGGGAGCACTGGGATATATTGGGAGCAATGGGAGGGGATCGGGCGATTGGGGTACTGGGATATGCTGGGAGCACTGGGATTTACTGGGAGCAATGGGAGCAGATGGGGGTACTGGGAACACTGGAATATACTGGGAGCACTGGGATATATTGGGACCAATGGGAGGGGATGGGGTACTGGGAGCACTGGGATATACTGGGAGCAATGGGAGGGGATGGGGTACTGGGAGCACTGGGATAGACTGGGAGCAATGGGAGGGGATGGGGTGATTGGGGTACTGGGATATACTGAGAGCACTGGGGTATATTGGGAGCAATGGGAGGGGATTGCGCAATTGGGGTACTGGGATATACTGGGAGCACTGGGATTTACTAGGAGCAATGGGAGGGGATGGGGCGATTAGGATACTGGGATATTCTGGGAGCACTGGGATATACTGGGAGCAATGGGAGGGGATGGGGCAATTAGGGTACTGGGATATACTGGGAACACTGGGATATACTGGGAGCAATGGGAGGGGATAGGGAGCTGAACGCGGGAGGATTGGGAGCACTGGGATGCAATGGGAGGAAGAGGAGGGGGGCCTCGGGGTACTGGGATGGGGAGGGGGGAGGGAGCAGGATTAAGCCCCTCCCACCCGTGGCTCCGCCCTCCGTGACCACGCCCCCCAGGGGCCACGCCCGTGTGGTGCTTCTCCCGATTGGAGGAGGAGGCTGGGGCCGGGGCCTGCGCGGAGCTGCTGAGCGAGGAGCGCGTCCCATTGGCTGACTGCTGCCTCAACCCCGCCTATGGCTACAAGCTCCGCCCACAAGGCTCCTGCCACACCTGCCGGTCAGCCCCGCCCCCGCAGCCAGAGCCACGCCCCCAACGAGGCTACTCCCCCTTAGGCCACGCCCATTCCATTAAGCTCCACCCACTTCTCCCACGCCCATTCCAGGCCCCGCCCATCCCCTTTACACCCTGCCCAGGTGGCCCCTGGTACCATTGGGTGCCATTGGGTGCTATTGAGTACTATTGGGTATCATTGGGTCCTATTGGGTCCCATCGGATGCCATCATGTCCCATTGGGTGCTATTGGGTCCCATTGGGTCCCATCGGGTGACATCAGGTCCCATTGGGTGCTATTCGGTCCCATTGGGTGCTATCGGGTGCCATTGGATGCTATTGGGTCCCATTGGGTGCCATTGGGTGCTATTGGGTCCCATCGGGTCCCATTGGATGCCATCGGGTCCCATTGGGTCCCATTGGGTGCTATTGGGTCCCATTGGATGCCATTCGATGCTATTGGGTCCCATTGGGTGGTATTGGATGCTATTGGGTCCCATTGGGTACAATTGGATGCCATTGGGTCCCATTGGATGCTATTGGGTCCCATTGGGTCCCATTGGGTCCCATTGGGTCCCATTGGTTCCCCCTCTCCCCGTGTCCCAGGGCCGGGTCCTGGGGGCCCTGGGGGCCCTGGTCCGGGTGCTCCGTGAGCTGCGGGGAGGGGACCCAGCGGAGGGGGCGGAGCCAGAGCGGGAGCCCCCCTGGGGGGGAGGAGCCAAGGGAGTGGGAGCTGAGAGCGTGCGAGGGGGCGGGGTGCCCGGGTAGGGTATGGGGGGGTATGGGGGGGTATGGGGGGACATGGGGGGGTATGGGGGATATGGGGGGTATGGGGGGTATGGGGATATGGGGGGGTATGGGGGGGTATTGGGGGGTATGGGGACATGGGGGGGTATGGGGCACATTGGGACACTGGGGGGTATGGGGGGCATTGGGACACTGGCGGTATGGGGGGCATTGGGGATATTGGGGGGTATGGGGGGGTATGGGGACATGGGGGGATATGAGGGGTTATGGGGGGATATGGGGGGTATGGGGGGGATATGGAGGGGCATGGGGAGGGCACGGGGCGGTATTGGGGGACATAGGGTGGGACATGGGGGGAGACACAGGGGGGCATTGGGGGGACATGGGGGGGAAGAACGGGGGGGAACAGGGGGGGCATTGGGAGGGTCCTGGGGGGGGGCTGCGGCCCCCGGGGGAGGCCGAGTAGGGGGCTTGCGCGGGTGGGCGGAGCTTGGCAGGGGAGGGGCGTGGCCATCAGCGCCCTGACTCCGCCCCCTTTTGCTTCCACCTCTCACAGAGGACGGCGCCTGGGGGGCGTGGTCGGAGGCCGCGCCCTGCTCGGTGACGTGCGGGCTGGGCGTGGTCACGCTGCGGCGCGCCTGCGACGCCCCGCCCCCTCGGCACGGCGGCCGCGGTTGCCAGGGCAACAGCACCCGGCGGGAGCTCTGCGGGCCCCACGGGGCGTGTCCCGGTGAGAGAGGGGGCGTGGTCAGGGGAAGGGGCGGGGCCAGGGGAGGGGGCGGGGCCTGAGCTGCACTGGGAAGGGGGGAGCGTTTGCTGAGCCCCAGAACGGGGCTCATAGGGGGCTTCTATGGGGCACCCATAGAGCAACCCCTTTCCTTTAGGGCCCTATGGGGCACCCATAGAGCAACTCCTTCCCTTTAGGGTCCTATGGGGCACCCATAGAACAACCCCTTCCCTATAGGGCCCTATGGGGCACCCACACCATAATGGTGCCCCCCAAGTGTGGGTCTAATTGGGGGGTTTATGGGGTCCCTGATGCTGTTTCCCCCCATAGAGGTGCAGCACTGGGGGCCATGGGGCGCGTGGACCCCCTGCGAGCAGCGGCCATGGGGTGACATGAGCTGCCAGCCTATGGTGGGGCGGCAGCGGCGGACGCGGCAATGTGTGGGGCTGAGAGCCGGGGGCCCCCCCTGCCCCATAGAAGACGGGGTCAGCACCATCCAGCTCCGGGCCTGCTACAACGTCCAGCACTGCCTGCGTGAGTGACTGCCCCATAGCACCCATGGCTGCCCCACATCACCCTAGAGCATCCTAGAGCGGCCCTATGGAACCCTAGAGCTGCCCCATAGCTGCCCTATGGAACCCTAAAGCATCTCAGAGCTACCCTATGGAACCTTAGAGCATCCCATAGCTACCATATGGACCCTAGAGCATCCCATAGCTGCCCTATGGAACCCTAGAGCTGCCCCATAGCTGCCCTATGGAACCCTAGAGCTGCCCCATAGCTGCCCTATGGAACCCTAGAGCTGCCCCATAGCTACCCTATGGAACCCTAGAGCTGCCCCATAGCTGCTCTATGGCACCCTATACCTTCCCAAGGCGACCCACCATCCCTCCCTCACCACCCTATAGCACCTTAGAGCCACCCCATAGGGACCTAGAGATGCTCCATAGGACTCTATGGCCAGCCCATAGGTTCCCCCAGGCCCTCCAGCCCCATAAGCACCCCATAAGTGCCAGCCCCGTGTCCCCCAGTGCCCGGGAACTGGTCAGACTGGAGCCCATGGAGCCTCTGCACCCCCCCATGTGGGGCCAGCCCCACACGGACGCGCAGCCGGGAATGCCTGCCCACCTTCCCCTCCTATCCGTGCGTATGGGAGCTGGGGGGTCTATAGGGTCAATGGGGGGGGGCTCTATGGGGTCAATGGGGGGTCTATGGGGTCAATGGGGGGTCTATGGGGTCACTGGGGGGGTCTATGGGGTCAATGGGGGGGCTATGGGGTCAATGGGGGGTCTATGGGGTCAATGGGGGGTCTATGGGGTCAATGGGGGGTCTATGGGGTCAATGGGGGGTCTATGGGTGTCAATGGGGGGTCTATGGGTGTCAATGGGGGGGTCTATGGGGTCAATGGGGGGGTCTATGGGGTCTATGGGGCTCTATGGGGTCTATGGGGCTCTATGGGCTCTCTATGGGGTCTCTATGGGGTCTCTATGGGGTCCCTATGGGGTCCCTATGGGGTCTCTATGGGCTCTCTATGGGGTCTCTATGGGGTCTCTATGGGTCCCTATGGGGTCTCTATGGGCTCTCTATGGGGTCTCTATGGGGTCTCTATGGGGTCTCTATGGGGTCTCTATGGGGTCTCTATGGGCTCTCTATGGGCTCTCTGGGGGTCCCCCTAGGCCGACCGTGACCTCGCTGGGCTCCCCCACCCCCATCAACGTCACCTTTTGGGGGGCTCCGCGGCCGCGCTGCCCCCCCCTGGCCGGGCAGCACCTGCGGGTGGAGGAGGGGCGGCCCTGCCCTG